GCCTGACGATGCTCCAAACTGTTCTTGAAGTCGACGTTCTCACGCCGTAGAACGGTGTTATGCTGAGTCAGCCGAGTGATCTTCCTCTCCAACTCCTGCAGTCGCTTCCCAGCCACCTTATGCCGCTGTGCGAGATCCGATAACGCTGTCGCTGTGGAGATCAAGGCGTTAATGATGCAACATCAACAACCTCAGCACTTGGGACGACTTACCACCGTCTTGCGCCTTCTTCGACGCCGCCGCCGCTTCTCGTCGTGCTGCTTCTGCGTCCTCACGAGCTTTGGACGCATCCAAGCGAAGGGCGTCCATCCGTGGCGCTGCTTTGTTGACCAGCGTGCGCGATTGCGCCAACTCGGTCTGCAACCTGTCGATTGTCGCCTCGGCTTGGCGCAATTGATTGCGAGATCTGTCTCGTTCGGCATTGGATCGTTGCAGGGCACGTCCCGCGCGTCCATCACTCGTCCGATCATCATCAGTGGCAGCTTCGCTGGCGGCCAACAGTCGGCCACCTGGGGTCACCGATGCAGAGGGAGGAGGGGTCCAGGTAGCCTTGATATCGGCCAGCTCGGCTCGTAGATCATCCAGATCTCCGAGGGCGATCTCCAACTGACTGGGGACGACGTTAGAGGGCGAGGCTGCATCGGACAGAGTGACTTCATCGGCATCAGCTGAGCGAGCGGCGACCCGTGCGAGATCTGCGCGTACTTGTTGTTCAGCAGCTTCGGCTTGCTGACGGCGTTCTACTTCGGTGTTCAGGGCCTGCTGGAGATCTCGGAGACGACCGTCGGTTTCGTTGCGCACGCGTTGAGCCTCCAGATCGCGATCATGGATGGCTCGATGAAGACTTGCAGTGTGGCGACCAGATGCTTCAAGAAGATCCTGGGCGACGTCAAGACGGCCCCAGAGATCCAGCACCTCGTGATCGAGGGCCGCGGTGACTTGAGCAGCCTGGATAATGCGCGCGCGTTCCGATAGAGATGGCTGCGAATCGGAGTATGGAGCCGCGGCCGGTATAGATCGACCAAGGGAGTGACAGGCAGTGCAATCTCCGTGGCTGTAGGTCGACAACGGGGCAGCACTCAGCAGAGGGACGCCGGCGGCCGACGACGAAGGCGACGACGTGGGTGGAGAAGCAGACATTGTGCAGGAGCTCTACGCGTGGCAGCCACCTGCTCGATGGCCTCACGCCAAGAGAGGGCGGATGTCGTAATGCGGGTTGAAGGATTGTGAGGCGATTGACCCGGAGGTTACCCGAAGGTGACCCGAGAGTGAGCCACTTGAATTATGGGACACCGTAGCTCGGCGTCCCGTATAGAAGGCCGGCGACTGATTACGAAACCCGATGGCGTATTTACGGAGATCCAGAACGGGGAGGCCCGTAACAAGGACGATGACACCTCACGGAGACAGCAGATGACGTCATGAGGTAAAGGCGTGCAGCATACTGGTTGGTTGGTTGGCCGGCAGACGAGCCGCCGGTAGATAGGCAGTTTAGTTCAGAATTTCCAACAACGAGACAAGGTACTTCTTCATATTAGTCTTTGTGTTGTGCGGTTAGTGCCTACGTGTGTACTGTGACTGTTTCCTACCTACTTGCGAAGTGTACTCGGGGTTCTGGATTGATTTGGCCTCCCCGGTAACCTTCTAGTAGCGTAGTGTGTTGCATTGTCTGGACTCAGGAGATCAGCTCTCAGTGTTCGACAGTAGGACACTCTACACGGTTTAGTAAGGTATTGGTGTGCGTCTCGCACTTTGGTTTGGACCCGCAGACTAGCTGCGGCAGGAGATCTCCAATAGATCTCGTACATATTGTACAACAAGTTGTCGTACAGTGGGAAGAGTTACCTCGCTGTACAAGTGCATCCGCGACAGAGTTAACCTAAGTCTCTGCCTGCGAGTGTAAGGAACCCCATATTCGCCCCTTCATATTACACGTCTTCTAGGAATTACGCTAGATAAAGATCCGAGTCTTGCTACAAGGGTACACAAGGTGAGGCCTAGAGATCTCGGGACTAGTTCTCGTTGTCTTTGGGTATTTGGCTTGCAGGGGTAACCCCCCTCCCCGTAGTTGCGTGGCAGGACACGTGTGGGGGTTTATTAGTTTTTATCTGATGGACTCCACCACATGATCTTGGCGGTGGCCGATCAAGATCGTCCGTTCCACGATGTGTGTGACGCATCCGACTTCGCAATCGGATGTGCGTTGATGCAACACGATCACGAGGGTCGTGATCGTGTCGTCTACTACCAATCGCGTCAGCTGAAGCCAGCTGAGCGCAACTAACCGGTGCATGACAAGGAGCTCCTTGCCATGATGTATGCACTCGCGAAGTTCCGAGTGTACTTACTCGGAAGCAAACCGTTCGTGGTCTATACGGACCACGCGTCATTGCGTACGGCCATCAAGTCGCCACACATCTCGCAACGCATGGCGAGATGGCTTTCGTTCTTTGCGCAATACAACTTCCGGGTTGAATACAAAACCGGACGACTCAATGTGGTGACCGACGCGTTATCGCGCCGACCTGACTACGCTGCAGGCGATGCCGACGTCAATGCCATTGACGCCATGCGATCGAGCACTCCCACGTCGTCGCTACTGGACGACGTGAAGGCCGCGCACGACGCGGACGCGAAGCTCTTGCTGGCCTATGGCTCAGCGCCTTCTGACAAAACTCGTCAGAAGCTACCAGAGCATCTTCGTGCTTGCGCACACCGCTATCGGGTGCACGATGGGTTATTACTCTACAGTGCAGTCGACGACAACGCGGATCGCGTTGTCGTGCCCAATGACCATGACCTGCGACTCAGGATCATGTATGAGTATCACGATGCACCGACTGCGGGGCATCCGGGACATACCTTCTTCTCACGCGGGACTTCTACTGGGCCCACCAGTACAAATGGGTGCGCAAGTACGTCCGTGCTTGCGAGGTTTGTCAACGTGTGAAGCCTGCGCCTTTCGCGCAGGCTCCCTTGCACTCCGTCGGAGTGTTGGCAGTCCATGTCTTTGGACTTCGTGTTCGGTCTTCCCCCGGACAGCCAGGGGAACACGGGCGTCGTGGTCTTTGTTGACCGCTTCAGCAAGATGGTACATCTTGCTGCAATACCCGCTGAAGTGACTGCGAAGCAGACAGCACGTCTGTTCGTTGACATGGTGTTCAAACACCATGGCATGCCGATCGACATTGTGTCGGATCGAGACCCGCGCTTCACTGCACACCTTTGGCTAGAAGTGTTTACACTTCTTGGGAGCCAGCTTTCGATGTCGACTGCGGACCATCCGCAGACGGACGGGCAGACCGAGCGCGTGAACCGCGTGCTCGTGGACGTGCTTAAGAGCTACGCTCACTCGTTTCAACACTGGAGCGAGTGCCTGTCGATGGCGAACTCCGCCATCAAGAACATGCAGTTTCCGACTTCGGGGCGAGCAAGCTGGCTCCGCGCTTCATCGGGCCGTTCACAGTGTTGGCACGGCATGGCAACGCTTACACGCTAGACATTCCATCTAGCATGCGCCTCCATCCGACCTTTTACGTCGGGCGGCTGAAGCCATACCGGCAGCAAGAGCCACCTAGCTCGGCTGGCCCGGAGCGGGAGCCCCGGCGGGAAAAACCTTCTGCTCCAACACGTGCATCTGGGTGAAACCACCAGGATAAGTATGTGAGTTCCTCTAAAGAACTCTTGTTATTGGATCAAATCCTAGACCTGACATGTTCCGTTAGGCCCTAGTCTAACAAAACAAAATCTGCTGAGAATGACGCTAGGGATCGGAATAGATCTCAACAGCATTCTCGTGAAACTAAACAAGTTGCGGCGTTTATTTTGAGCTGAAGAACTGCTCAGGACGAGTTCCGAAGTAGAATTAATCTTTGCAGATAGTATAGTAAATTGCCCACTCGACTGAGGCGCGCAGTCTTGCTTTTGCCATGCACAATCCACTTCAGCCCCGTCAACCATGTATGTACGTACACGACGCTGCCTGGCTACCGAGGCGATGACATTAGCCGCTGAGAGCCGCGATCCAGCAAACGGTGCTGAAATACGCAGTAGACAGCAATCTGAGGCTTTTTCATCTGAACAAAGATTTCGTAGCGCGCTGCACTGAGTAGTTGGTTCACAAGGCTAGTCGATGCCGCTGTACGATCACAAGACTTCCTCGATCGAGCAAACGTAAAGAAGTGTAGTGCTTCGGTTCTCGCCAAAGTTATAGACTGCAAAACTCGTTCCCACTTCAGAACGGGTCACGGAGGCTTTCTGGGGACGGGTACATTCTGAAACTCGTTCTCTACGTTATGCACAAAAGTTTAGCCAATAGAAAGTGGAAGTCGTTCGGCTCAAATTTCAGAACTTTAACGTAGACCAGGGTCTTAGTCTAACTCACGTCTTTGGCATCGTTGTTGTGTGACCCCGATACGAACGTAACCGTTGTAGAATAGTGCCCCTGCAGGTCATCGCGCGGGTGGAAGGCGTTAAGAGGATCGCCACTCGGCGCGAAAGATGGAACTCGAAGCGAATAATGGGAGAGACACGCGAGAAAGTCGACGAGAGATGGGCGTGCGATATGGCGTCTGAGTCTGATTCGTCGTGAAACATCGACAAGTCGGTTCGAACGCCTGTCTACGCATACCCTGCCGACCCTACCCCTTGCCGAGCAAACTACCCTGAGTCCAAAACTCGGAGAATAAAACACGCTGACGTAAGATCTAGATTACGTTACACAAATCAGGTTGAATGGCGGTGAAGTAGACACGACATAAATAGGGATAGGCTGGAACGGTAGGCTTAGCAAGTAAAAGTAGGAAGTAGCCTGTATCAAGGACATAGGATAGGGTAAGGCCCTAGTCCCGAAATTTCTCTCAACCACCAAGACCTCTCTTCTTCGAAAGATCCCTACGGTTCTAGGAGAACCACCAAGCGCCGGCAAGTAGATCAGCCTGATACCCCCCCCCCCCCCTCCTTCCGACGTTCGCTGGTTCGGGTGCTCACCTCGTCAAACCTCGTACTGGAACATAGGCACGTTAAACGCCGATAACGCGCTGCCTATGTAAAGGACCGCATTGGGAAATAGTCACCGTGCACAAGACCCCGCGTCGGCCCGATAACGTCGCACGTTCAAGGAACCCACGCCTTAAGACAAGGAACAATCGCCCAGTCAACTCCCGAACTCTGAAGCCTACAAAGACTGGGGCCCACATTCGAAGAAACGCTACTCAACAACCGGGATATTGCTCGACGAGACGGAACTCACGGGATTTCTGTCAGGGTGCTACTCAACATTTCGGACGTTGGACAATCGGCGCGCTACTCACCAGACAGCTCAAGCTCGCCCGTGCGAAGGATCGGTTGAAGGCAGAGGCCATGTCGCGGATAAGCACCTCAACCGATAGAGGAAAGATCTAGCGCTGGCGCGCATGCATATTGTCATTCAGGCGATACAATGGGACAGGGCGGATTGCGAAACGTTTCATGGGCTGACTGTGTCATAGGTCGAGCTTCTGACGTGGCGGCAAGCACTGGTAAGGCAATCCCGTTCAATAGAGGACCAAGCGTGTAACGTGTGTGGTGTAGTGTCCCGCGGAGGAAGAGGGCACACCGGACGCTGAAGAGAGAAGGCGCTGGAGCGAATGCTGACTGGCGCGAGTGATGGAACTCGGCGCAGATGATGGAACGCGACGTGGTTAACGGGGTGCGACACACAGCAGAGATCGACGAGAACGTCGACGCGGTGATGGGCCGTGGGACACAGCGACACTCGGCGCGTAATCATCCGACGGGTCGATAGGCGCACCTATCTTTGCATAACGCACCGACCCTAAACCCTAAGCCCTAAACACGCCGACCCCAAACCGCGCCGAGCACAACGCGTCAAGGTGAGATCTTGATTATGTTACGCAAATCAGGTTGAAGAACGGTAGAGTACGCACGATAGATTGGGATCGGCTCGGAACGGTAAGCTTAGCAAGCAGTAGTACGGAGTAGCCAGTAGCAAGGACATAGGATTGGGTAAGGACTCTGTTCCGAAATTTCAATGAACCACAAAGACCTCCAGTCTTCTCCACGGTTCCAGGGGAGCTACCAAGCGCCGGGCAAGTAGAGCCGCCTCGATATCGCCCCCCCCCCTCCTCATTTGCTGGTCC